TTTTTTTTTTTTTGCATAAAAAGTATGGCAGAAAAAAAAATGAAAAAAAATTCTGCTAATAAAATTTTTTATTTTTTAGAAAATTAGAGCAAAAAAGAAACAGTCACAAAAAAGAAAGATATTCTTATTTTTACATTTTTTTTTTGCTTTAAAACTAAATTGAAAAAGAAGTAAAAAAAATTCTTTTGAAAGCTGAATCTTGATTTAAGCCTAATTGAAATCTGTCTGACCACTAAATTACTGTCTCATATGTTTGTTGAGCGAAAAAAAGGCAAAAAAAAACAAAACCAAAAACAAACCCTAAAATTACTGCTGTATTTTATCGAAAATAAAAAACAGACTATAAATTAAATTTATTCATTTGGTATAAAGTTTTTTTTTTTAAGTTTATCTTTTTTTAACACTTACAGAGTAACGATATGCGAAGTGAATTAAAGAAAATCAAAACAATATGTGACGACCACGAAACACTTTGTCAAAGTTTTGCACAATGGAAAAAAGATGTTGATGAAGTAAGTTTTGCACAGTACTTTTGGTGTTATTGAAACTGAAAAAAAGAACAACATAGATTGTCTTCTGAAACTCTAAAACTGTTATCTGCTGTAGAATGATGCTCAACTTCGAATTCTGAATGCTACAGCTGCATCGTTGCGGAAAAGACATCGAGCAATATGTGAACAAATAAAGAAAAAACCAAGTACGGTTTTTCCATTTTCTGTTAAATAAAGCAAAAAATTTTTAGTATTTTTCTTTTTCGTTTTGCAATATGTAAAAATTTGTTGTTACACTTCAAAAAATTTTATCACATTATATATTTTTTAACTTTTTCAAACACCTTATAATGGTATTGCAAATTTGAAATGCAGTTAATAAACCTAAGGTACATTCAGAAAAAAAAAAAGTTTCAGTAGTTTCTGAAGAAGTAGACAGATTACAACGTGAAATCAGTTTTGTTGAAGCTGAAGTGGATGTTTGGATGAAAGAATTGGCTGAGGTCAACGATGCACGAACTAACCTCGATGTAATTTAAACCTTTTCTTCTTTTACTCTTATCACTTTCTGAAGTTTACCCAAAATGCTGC